GTCGTGGTCCTGGTCCTGGTCCTAGTGGTAGTGGTAGTGGTAGTGGTAGTGGTGGTAGTAGTAGTAGTAGTAGTGGCACTGGCACTGGTGGCAGTGGCTGTGGCTGTGGCATCGGCATCGGCACTAACAGCTACTAACTAAAACTCTAAGAGTAGCAGTAGTAGTAGTAGTCGTCGTCGTCGTCTTCGTCCTAACAAAGGGTTGCCCCGTTAACCTATTATGCCCCCATCGCTTCGGCAGGCACAGCTCGAGGCCAACATCTCACTGTGACCAGCCTTCGATCAGAGCTATTGAGATACATGAGGCATCCGGGTTTAGAGTTTATGTTTTAGGTTTGCAAGCTGCGGTCTTGCAGCTGTGGTTTGGGCTGTGGTCCCGGAGAGCATTAGATCTGACATTTTGTGTCTGGGGTGCTAGTCGTTCGATGGCCACATCACCCGTGGAGTTCAGGTCCACAAGCCTCCAAGCTTTGAGCCCCAGAGCCCATAGCCCAAACCCAAACCCGAGGCCCTAAGCTCGAAGTCATAAAGCATAAGCATCCTGAGCGTTAAAATCCCAGAGAGACTTGTTCCCTGCAAAACGCTGGCTTTAGATATGGGCAGGTGGGAGACCAAGTCATCCGAGTACCAGTCACTGTATATTGGAGGTGACAAATGAGAACCACGGAAAAGAGTTGGTGAGCTACCTACTGTAGTGGACCGCTGTGGGCCCTACAAGTAGGGCTTAGGGGTTTAGGGTTTCCGCAAACTGCCCCAATGAAGAGGCCGCTTGAAGCTTTAAAGCCATGCACACTTCCTGAGGAAGTGTTTATAAAACCCTAGTCTAGTCGTAAAGGCCCTGTAATCCTAAACTGTAAACCCTGAGCCCAATGAAGGCTCAAACCCAGGACCTCCGTTTAAAGCCCAGGACACCCAGCGGTGCTTGGCACCTTGGCGGCTTCTGCTTCGGCCAGGCCACGGGGGATGCGACAAAGGCAGCCGAGGTCAGGGCTCACGTGGAGTGGGAAACTGGGACCGAGAAAGGGTTTAGGGCCGTTTAGGGTTTAGGGTTTATAGGGGCTTTTCGGGTTTTAGGGCTTTTTGGGATTTTGAGCAGCGGGAAGTTGCGCTTCCTCGAGATGTGCAAGGAACTGGGACAGGTGAGTGTAAGACTTCGATAACAAGGGCTCCCGTTAGATACCGTGAGCAGGCACATGTAAGGTCCCAACTCTTGGGACGCATGTGGTTAGGTTCCTAGTTGAGTTGGAGGGTTTCGGGTGTACACGGATTTCTATGGGTTAAGACGTACGGTTACGGTCGAGGATGCCCAGATGCAAACAACGAGTTTAGGGTTTCGGGCATGAGTGAGCGTGTACTGGTTTTGGGGGGTGAGGATGACTGGTTTAGGATTGAACTGGCTTGTGTACGGCATTGAAGGTTTCGGTGGCTTGGGATGTGGGGTTCAGCTGTCTGTGTTTAAGTTTAGACCGCTATGCTTTTCAAAATAGACTAAATCCGAAATCCTACCCGGCCCTACCCTCGCTGGGCCTTGAACTGTAAACGGCACAGCTCCTGCTGAGGAAGGCCAGCGAGGTTTGAATGAGATGGGGCCGGTGAAGCTCGTGGCGTTCGACGCGCGAGAGCAGCGTTGGGGTGCCGTGCGGGACACTTGGGGGAAGCTCGGCTACATAACTCGCAGCTGGCACAAGGGACGCACCACGTTTGATAGCCTTGGAGCGGCTTCCTTGCCGATTTCCATGATCGCTTATAAATAACCTCGGTTGTTAAGCTTGTGAGCCCACTCCTCAGCCAAGCCCGAATCACGAGATGGGCAAGCAGAGGGGCCCTGAAAATGAAGGAAAGAGGCCTGCGAGGACAAGATCGACTCCGCCAACATGGTGCGCCTGCTCAACAAGACCAAGGTCAAGTTCAACTTCCGCATCCAGGTGCACCAGACCTTCGGCTGCAGGGCTTGATGCCAACAGAGTCCTGGGATGCCTTGGGGCGGTGTAAGCGCTAGGAGGCGTGGGAGTTGGTGTGTTTTCCTTTTCTGAACCGTGTTTTGTAGGCTTCTGCTGCTGTCTTGCGGTAGCGGTTATCCACTCTAATTGTCCCAGGCACCCTTTATGGCAAGATGGTAGAGCGATAAGGGCTAGAAGCGCGCCTCCAAGGACCAGTGCCCCTCGCGACTGGCACTTCGCACTCTTGACATGTGGTGAGGTGGAGCAGGCACCTATGGTGCTGCGTTTGGAAGCGACGAAGGGCGCATTGAACATGTTCGCGGCGAACTCCAATTTCGACTCCTCCAGCTGTCCCGTCACGAATGCCTCTTGGTTCGCAGCCGCCAGTGACGATGCAGGGTTTTGGGTGCTCCTCGTGGGGGCTCTCTTGCTGGGGGCCAGCTCGGTTCTGTGCGTACTCGTGTGCCGGCAATTTCGTGCCAAAGGGAAGGGCGAGAAGAGCAGCCTCCAACTTCCTCCTCCGGCAGTCAGTGGTGCGGAGCCCGTCATCGGCAGGCCTTGTGCGGCGGTTGGTGAGGAGCCCGTGCAAAAAGCAACTCTAATCCCTAAGCCTCTCCGAAGCCATTGTATGTCGTCGTACCGTGCTGAGTGCTGCATCCCTGCAGGAGAAGATTGTGGACGGCCAGATCAGAGCCAACCCACAGCTAAGTGAGGCAGCCACTGCCAACAGCTCTGAGATGGCATCTCCAGAGAGCGATGTCTAGTGTCGAACGTCTAATGCCTGCTTCATGTTCTCAAGCATGTATCCAGGGGCCCCTGCAAGGGGGAATGATCCCGGTGCATACCCTGTACAGTCAAGCAAGTCCGATTTCAGCAGTCGGAATTTGCCGTACATCCTTCGTCGTCTCCGGATCGACCTACCGCCAGACGATCAATTTCGTCGAACATTTTAGCTCGACCATGTTATTTTCTTTCGAGGCCCTCTCAATGAGGATTTGGCCTCGAACTGCACGGAATATGTGCTTCGTCCGTGTCTAGGTGGGCAGTTCCGGAGCATGCTCCTTTCCATGATTCAGCTCTTGTCGTCTTCGAAGCTCACAGGGGATCCTCGTGGTTATTCCGGTTCACTACTGCCCACCGATGAGCGGTCCTTATGGGGGGCTTGCAACAGCCCCTAAGACCCACAAACCCCTTCTTTGCAGCAACGTGAGCGAAATTCCACATGTCGCTGTCAGCTATGTACTTTGTGAGAACTATCAACAGAATGGCTGCAGCAACAACAGCCAGATAGCAACACAGCACGGTAGAATACAGTAGTATTCACGACAAGAACAGCTTTCACATTGGAGTTCGTGATTTACAGTAACAATGCTAATGCTACCATTATTTGTACTGATACCTTAGACATGGTCCAAACTTCTGGTCTCATCAGGGGTTTAGGGTTCAGGCGGTTTAGGGTTTAGGGTTTAGGGTCTAGGGGGTTTAAGGTTTAGGGTTTCCAGTAGGGGTGTACACTTCCAGGCATCCACCGAGCTCCTGGTTCAAAAAAGGGGTGTAGGGTTTAACAGCCTGCAAGCCTCAGGCCCAGAAACCGTTCATGTAAGACGTCTCTATCCTGATGAAAGGCCTCAGCCAAGTCAGCCAAGTCCCAGGCAAAAATGCCTTAAGCCCCTCTTTAGCCCGGAATGAGATATCTCTACTTTACACACGGTTTTGCTCATTGAGTTTGTGCCTGGTACCGCGAAAGATGGAAACCTGCGCCCCAAAGCGACCTGAAGGCAAAGACCGTGGCTTTTCATAAAATACGACCCAATCCTTTGCCAAGGCTTCAGTCGGACTCTGCAACGGTTCTACGTGATGGTCGCTGGAGTCGAGTAGAGGAGCCCCAGCAGAGAAGAGTGTTGTGATGTACGGTGATTTAATGAGCGCGATCAACATCATGATCTTGACGATGATGAAGATGGTCGCGGTGATGGTGCGCATTTAAATCCCGAAAGATAAACCCGAAGCTGTAAGCTTCAAACCCTTAGCTCCCAAACTTTGATCACCACCCAAACCCTTATCCACCATTACCCCCTCCCTAAGACGGTTTTTCTGCTTCCCTAAACGTGAGCGCCGAAACCTTAAAGCCGTAGCGGGCAAGGATTCCAGTGAATGAACTGTATCACGCCGACCCGCGACTATGGAACCTTGCTGGGTTTGTCCGAGTTGTGAGAGTGTGAAGCCGTCAAGACCCTTAACCCTAAACCCTCAAGACAGAAAAAAATGGAGGTTGGGTCTTTTCACGACCAGTTTTTTACGACCTTGTCACCGTCACCCAACTCAGCTTTGCCCAGCCCAGGCCGCGCCAACCCCGAGCCCCCAATTTTGATCGAGTTGTTGTTTGGAAAACTCGATCAACACGTTTCGGTCAAAACTCAGGAACACCCACGCCCTGTACAATTATTCTTGAGCCCGGCAGCGAAACGACAACACCAGCCCAGCCAGTCTGCCACGGAGCTGCAAAGGAAGAACCCCCGCCAACTTTTTTTTTCGCCGATGAACCCCCGAAAGTGGGCCCTCATAAGCTGCGAGGCTCCAGCCTTCTCTTTTTGGAGCGCCCACAGAGGCTGTGAGGCTCCAGGCTTCAGCTCGTTTATGGGCCGAGAGAAGCTCCAACCCAAACCCAGCCCAGCCCATGCTATTCAAGGGAAAGCCGGGGTCAGAGTATGTAATAGAATATAGCATTCAGATCATATGCCATGAAATAGGATTGGTCTCAGGTCTAAGCTTTCAAGCCGCGAGGATGCAGGGTTCGTCTGGCCACCCCTCCCGGCCCAATCCCCAAAAATAGACATTAAGGCAACAAGAAATGCGTTTCCGACAAGAAGTTTCGGATCCAATTCGAGCAGCATCTCGGTTACAAACTCTCAAGCCAACAGCGTAACGCCTAAGAACCCTGAACCCTCGGTGATGGAACCCTCGACCCCCAAGAAGCCGTAAACCCGTCAAAGGCGGCCGAGATGGTACCAGGAGATGTCTGCGAGATTAAGGTCGGCATGGGAGGGGCTTTCGTCAGTTTTCGGTTTGAGGGTTTTAAGGTTTAGGGTTTAGGGGTTTAGGGGTTTAGGGTTTAGGGGCTGTAGGGTTTAGGCTTCGAGGGTTTAGGGTAAGATCGTGAGGATGGTGCGTACTTAGCCTTGCGCATCTCGCCACGAGTGAGTGCGATGTGCTGCGAGGGACTTGGCCGGGCGAGCTCAGTTCAAGCCTGTGGAAAAAGGGTTTGAGGGTTTTAAGGTTTAGGGTTCAAGGTTTGGGCTGCTGTGTACGAGGCCTGCTGTAAAAAGGGCTTCAGGGTTTAGCTTATAGGGTTTAAGGTCTAAGAGTTTACGTTTTAGGGGATAGGGGTTTACGGGTTTAGGGCTCAGGGCTATGACCTGGCCGGGCGAGCTCCAATCAAGCCCGTATAGAAAAGGGCCATAGCCCAGGTGTAAAAGGGTTAGGAGTTTAAGCCTTTAGGGGTTTTAGGGCGCAGAGTTCTGGATGCAAAAAGGGGCTTGGGGTTGAACACTGGGCATTTAGTAATTCTACGAGAAGCTGAGATCTGGTTGTAATACACTGGCGGTAAGACATCTGAAATGATGGGCCCGGCGCTAGATGGACTTTGGATGTAGGGGCCTTGCGGGCCTTGCACAAAGTCGAACAGGGTATAGGGGTTCATACGGTGCAAGGGTTTTAAGATATTATGTGTTTGGATACGAAGCAGAACCAGGTTGTTTCCAAGGATTTCTTCAGGCATTTATGGGGCTGAACTATGCGGTTATACTAAACTGTTTAAGTAGCAATTTTCGGGCTTCTCGTGTAATGTGCGGGATTTGGGGTTCCAGAAGAACCAGACGAAGAAGATCAAACATGAAACGGCCTAGTACAGGGGCCTGAATCTTGAGTCGTAGTATGCCTTCATCGTCTCTACATACATGGCATGACGAACACCAGGGCCTATTCCAGTTGTGCCTCCATATCGGAGAAGCCCTTAAAGCACCCAAACATGCATCCTATTCTAACTATCGAAGCGCCTGCATCACGGTTCTTGACGGCGTGGCTTCTAGCTTGGAGCTTCAGGTTGCGATCAGACATGCCTCGGCTCGGGGTCGAGGGGTTTAGGGGGAAGGCCTAGGGATTGGCTGGGCCATAGTATAGATCATAGAAGCCTTTATCCTTCGTTGTTGTACCAGTCCTCAGAGTTCCTGATCCTAACTACAGTATCATACAGACCCCTTTAAAGCTTATTTTGGTGTTAAGGCTCGGCAGTACACCGTCGGCTGTGAAGGTCATGAGCCTCACAGAGCTCTTATGGAGCTCTTCTAGGAGCCTGCGGGTCTGTCGCATACTGAAAAAAGTAAAGGGTTTAGGGTTAAAAGGGTTCAGGGTTTAGTGTTCGATGTTTTGAAATGCAACAGTGCAGACAAGTCATCGCTTCGGAGACTCATGTGTTGCGTTAATCGAGAACCTAGATATAGAACCTTCCAAACCCTGATTGCTTGGTTCTCTATCAGCTAGTAGTGTCCCTGGAACTCTAGCTGGTGCCTAACTTGAGAAACCCAAGACCCTAAACCCTAAACTCTAAACCCGAACAGCCCTAAACTCCTAAACGCCCTGGCCCTGGCCTTGGCTGTCAGGGCCTCGATGTGCCCAAGCTGCCGGAGGCGGAGGCCCAGGGAGGTTACAAACCTCGGGCCCTGCACAGTAAAACAGGGCCTTTTTGGGGCAAGCTCTTTGGGGTTTAGGGTGTTTGGGGTTTGGGTCTGGGGTTTAGGGGTTTAGCGTTTCGGGTTTAGGGGTTTAGGGTTTGGGGTTTAGGGTTTGGGGTTTAGGGGTTAGGGTTTAGGGGTTTAGGGTTTAGGGTGTGGGGTTTAGGGGTTTGGGGGTTTAGCCTTAGACTTGAGTCCAGTGGTAAGAAAGGGTTGGGAACACCCACAACCGAGTGTAAAACCCTTCGACAGGCTGTTGTGTTTGACACAGCAGCCACCTGAAGCACCTTGCAGGCCCTAAATCTGGGTTTGGTATCTAAAATAAACAGTACCATGCAACGAGAACAACCCTCTGTTATAGAACAAGATGGTTTATCGAGCCCCGTTCTACCTATGAAGGGTTTGAAGCCAGGGCCTCGACGCGCCCACCCTGCGCGAGGCGGAGGCCGAACCAAGGGGCTCGGTTGGGGTTTTTGGTGTTTGGGGATAGGGGTTAAAAAGGGTTTACGCTTTAGCGGGTGAGGGGTGAGGGTTTAGGTTAGGGGTTAAGGGTTTAGAGTTTGGGGTTTAGGGCTTGGGTGAGGTTCTGAGAGACCTCCCAAACCGAAACCACTTCATGAAGTGACAAATCTTAAATGGTCAGACTTTTTGGTCTAAGTCTAGTAACCCAGTACTTGACGCTTTCGTGTGATTTATGGTCTAACGCTTGGTTAAAAGGTTCTAGAGCCTCTGGTTTCTTACAACTAGGAGTCCTTATAATTATAGGGTCCTAGTACTCAAGGTTCAAAGGGTGGGTTTTCATGTTCTGAAACTCGGGTTCCAAAAATGTTCTGAAACTCCCATCTGCCCTTTGTCTATCGGTCTACCTCCCCACCTTATCCACTTGCCAAAGAAAGTACATGCATGGATGATCCGACCTGAACAAGTTCAAAGCCAGCGTTAAACCTACAAGCTCGAGACTTTGTTTGGAGCCTAAACCACGTTCACACCCTCGCATCGTTTTTTTTTAAAATCTCCGTCTCTGTATGTTTCTT